TGAGAGGCGCTCTTGCTGAAGGTGAACCTAAGTTGGGCTGAAAAGCTGGGCATGGATTCCGCACATGTCTAGCAGACGGGCAGCGTTGAAACCCGTCCAACCGTCACACGTTGCCAGAAGAATCGATTGACTTGACATCAAAATCGAATCGCTTTCCAATAAGTGTTTCGAGCAACTGGAAATCGTCTGACGTCAAATCTACCTTGGTGTTTTCTTTGCTACCTAACTGTCCCAAAAGACCACTTAGCCGTCCACTTGAAGCTAAGTGATCCTCTAGTTTGCCGCAACAGCCTTGCTACCAGCACCGGGGATCTTAGCGCCAGATCCACCGGACCCACCTCCTCCACCGCCTCCAGACTTCTCGGGGCAGTCGCGGGCGAAGTGGCCCTTCTTCTTGCAGAACAGGCAGCGACCCTTGGTCATGAGGCGGACCTTCTCCTCCTCCGAATGGCCAGACCGCTGCCGTTCTTCTTGCCCTTGTTGGGGCCACCGCGCTTGCCCTTGTACCCAAGGCGCTGGATGTTGGTGCGCTTGCCGATCTTCTTGCCGTCACCGACCTGGATCCAACCTGTGGAAGGGGAATCGCTGGATTTGCGCTTCATGATATTTCTCGGACCCTTAGATGAAGAGTCATCCCGCTCAGAGCCCTTTGACTGAGAGATAACCGCCCAATTGACAGAGCAAAACTGAACCAACTTCTCAAAGCTAGTCCACCTGCTACCGTCAGGCATTGCTGCAGCACGTTGACGCATTTCGAAGTTCAAACCCGACTTGAACCTCTGAATTCTCTCAGGCTCGCTAAGGGTTTCCCCTCCCAATTCGGCGCAAATCTGTTCAAAAGCCCTCGCATACTCTTCCACAGACATAGGACCCTGCTTCAGTCGATCGAGCTTAGCCCAAGCCAAAGAGATAGGGTCAACAGAACCGAAACCCTTGATGAGAACATTCTCCAGAAAAGCCATATCAATGACTGATTCAGGAGCAGTCGCTTTCAACGAAACCACACGAGAGTTGTAGTAAGTTCGAGCCTGGCCTTCCAAATAGGATGCCACGATGGAAGCTTGCTTAGCAACTGGAACTTCTGCAACGCTGCAGTAGTCCTGCATTGTAACAAGCCACTCTCTGATATCCATGGAAGAGTCGCTTTTCCGCCAAACTTAGGGGGTCTTGCTGCCTCATATTTGGGTTTCTCCGCTCTTTCGATTGAGAGACCCTTGAAACCAGCAGTCACAACCTCTCCCTCTAGCTTGTTCACCTTTTTGCAAAGCGCTCTAACAACCCGTTTCAGAGTTGACGTTTTAGGCGCAGGTATAGAATCTTCCATTTCAGCATCAGCGCCAGGAGTCTCGTCAACCTCACCCTCGTTATCGCTTGCCATGAGGGTGTCCTTCGCAGGAACCTCCTCCGATCCCTTGGACTCCTCCTCGCTGCTCTTCTCTTCCTCATTGCGCTCCGGCTCCTCCTGCTCGGGGAGCGCCTGCTGCTTCTCGCGCTTCACCATGTCTGCGAAGATATCGATGGAACGATAGGCAGCTAGATTGACTGTGCCAAAGAGCTGGGGAAGAAAAGAAGTGACCCACGCCGTGAAGAAGGTCGTGGAATCCTCTAGATACCAATGTAACGTGCCGGATAGTCCCGAGCCTGCGATGCTCAAAACCCCCAACACAGAGTTAGCGGAATTGCGGAATGTACGCTGCGGGAGCTCAACACTTGGGAGAATTGCGAAACTCGCTTCTGGCTAGAAGCCAGCGTGTTGAATGAGCAACTTTCGTCCGACCTTATAGCTGTGCTCCAATTCAGAAGCCAGCAGAATGTTAGTCGCTCCATCCTAGAGATCTGCAGCGTCCTGCAGCACTCTATATCGTTAGATGAATTCGCTCTGCACTCTAGGTTATGCAACTGGCGTGAACTTGGGTATGCGACCTTTGCCAGCTAAGAAACGTCCAGGTTCCTTGAACAGCCTGTCGCTTTCAGCCTAGAAGACGCCATTGTGTCAGCAAGTGACATCGTGCCTGCATCGCAGATCCACGGAAAGATGACAGCAAGGCATGCGCTTAGAAAGTCGCTCTGTGATTCGTTGAGTCAAGGAAAACGCGTCCTTGCCAGTTCTCTCACCACTTGTTGATAGTGACTGCAATCGCTTTCAGTCGCGCACCTAGCTTGAAGAAGCTCAAAGTTAGGTTCAAGTCCGTCTCTGGATGAAAATCCTGGATCCCGTAATAAGGTAATTAGCCCCGAAGTCATCGGACGGACTAAACGTACCAAAATAATCAATCGACGGTCAAAACGTACCAATTCTGTAAATATTGTCCCAGAATCCGATGGGGTAAATGTGGCCAAATTTGGATAAAATCCGAGCGCGTTCTCATTTATTTAAAGAGCCGTCGATTTGAGATTCAAGCTCTTGTGTGACGTTGATAAAGCAACAACTTTCAGACTCGTTTGAATTCACTTGAACTCGATCTCAGGAGTTCAAGTCATAAGCTATGCTCAAATGTACATTCGCTACTAGGCACAGTGTACCTAGAAATTAGGGTTTCGCATTTTGCAAATAACCGTAACGATTTCAAAGGAGACCGGTAAAAGAGCACATCGTTACATATAGGCCTTGCATATGATTATAGGCATCGCTTTTCAGAACCATATTCGCTTCGAAGCTCACGGTAGACTGAGACTCGGACTATTGAAGCCTCAAGCTCTAAGAAAGTTGAAAGGCATGAATTATAGCCCGATCATAGACTGCTTAAATATAAATCAAATTTCGCGGTTTAGAATCTACAATTGATAAAGCTCATTTGAAAGGCTTTCGAATTTGTTGCATTATTGAATGCGAACAAACCCAATAAATCATTCATCAATTTCTTGTAGATTGAGCAATTGCAGCGTTCAATCGCTACCTGCATTTTTTTTGTTTATTTATGGGGCAAAATGCTCTGCAAACAATCGATTAATGGGAATCTATCCTGCATATGAAATTTTGGGCAGTCAAAGCAAATTTGAATTGTTGCCCAATTAACTTCGAACAATTGGTCCTGTAGAGAAAGAATAGAATTAGTAGAAGAAGATGCTGGTGCAAAACCACATGTGATCCGCAAACTGTCCAGTCTCAATGTATAATGTGTGCACTGCTATCCTCGATTGTAATTGGGATAATATCTAGGAGTGATTCAGTCTCAACGGTATGTTTTTTTAAATACGCTCTGGTGATTTAGCATGTTATTGACAGGGGTATTCTGTCTGATATTGATGCCCGGAAGTCAAAACAGAACCGCCACATGCGTGCTAGGTGTGAATGTAGGGCAACCGTTGAGCAAGACGGTGTATCTAACCGCATACAGCTCTCAGCCAAACTCATTTGCGCCGCCCAGACATGTGTCTAACGTTTCGATGCTGCCATTTAAAATGTCCTGGTATATGGGGTCAGTATGCCACATTATGCTTTATCAAGACACATGTAACTGAAAAGATTGTGCATAAAACATTGTTGTCGAAAAGCCTGAGCGTCCACTGGCGTTCAATGCCGTGCGGTATTGTCTCCTCTGCCGGCTGGCATCGGGAACGGCCACGTGGCCTAATCCTACCCGTCTATACCTGCCGACGCTGACTATACATGGCCTACTCGACCCTTGACTCCTCGCGACATGATGAAATGAACAAAACGACCCTATTCGACCGGGCCTATCCATCACCTCTCCTCAGCCCTATAGGTTCGGCCGGCACGAGTCTCAATCATGGGCTAAGGTCCCGTACCCTAGACTCGGCTGGTAATCTCGCCGGTCTGCCACTAACCATACACTAATGGACTAACTCTGGACTCAGCCCGCGGCGCGCGCGCCAGGCTCGCAAGCCGGCCGCGGCTCGCCCTATCGCCGGCAGCCACGTGGCACGTCTGCGCCACGTGTCGACCGCTATCTGGACACTACCCGACACGGACAGCCCTCGGCATGGCAGCGTAGCTATCGTCGGATATCAAAAAGCCGGCCGAAAAGTGTGAGGTTTAATAGCAGCAGTAAAGTGGAGCTGACAAATTCGTTGTCTTAAGCCCGCTTCTTGAGTCAGCATTGATACATGTTGAATTCTTGTCTCGTCGAAGTGCTTTTTGAGAAAGGCTCATGCACGTGGCTCATGTGCCAATTCCGCCAACTTTGTTAGGTTCATTGCAAAGGCAGCGAAGTTGTTTAATGTTTTCATTTAAGTTCACTTCTAGGGTGGCAATTCGAGATGATTACCGCATATACATGCGACCAAGGGGGTGGCAAATTTAGTAGGTTATCGTGTAGTATCTTAACAATTTGAGATTGGTATTTTTGCATTTGGTCAATAGATTATACTGCAGTCCTGATCTTATTGGCAGAGCTCTTAAATATGATGGCACACTATAGTGCAAGATCTTACGACCAAATATATAAAGAGCATCTTAAGCACAGTGTAGTATCTGTTGGAGGCATGTGAACCTGGGAGTAGATTTGGTCCGCCATATAAGTGCATCTTTTGCATCTTACGGGCCGTAAGATCCGGAAGAAGTGTAAGATGGGGGGTTTAAACCCGACCATTTCAATGTAGTGCTCTGGGACTGTCTCGCTATGACGAAGACAAACACATATCCGGTTTTCTGAAATTCCAAATGAGTGCTTATGCGGATTCGTCAAGATGATTTTTTCTACGATCATCTGCAGATTTGGAGTTGCCACCCTAGGGTTCCACTAGTAGCCTGTAGGGTTGTCACGGTGTCACACCATTGAATAAGCGTGACTCACCGAGACGACCCGAGCCCGCCGCAGGCTCCCGGGTAAATGCCTTAATACTCTGGTAACTCCCATTTCACCTAGGATATGCGCCTGGGAGATGGGTATGGTTGGTATGCTGGGAAAGGTGGATCATGGATGCGGAGCAGGTGATTGTTGCCAGTTAAACTTTTGTATTTTGTTTGCCCGGGTAGCTCGGATCTTAGATTGAAACCCCCACCCGGCGGGTATAAATAGTGCTGGTTACCAACTTTGCCATAATCATCTTTTGCAACTTGAAAGTGCGATAGGCGCATAAGTTATAAGACGCAACACATACAAGAACTTGGTCCTCCGCCAGCAAAAAAACAAGCCGTTGCCCTCCGTTTTGAGCAGCGGTTTCGACATGGCTATTGCAACCCAAATGATGCAACCATTTTAGTCTTGTAGTCTAACTTGTTTTCACCAAAACGTTTAACTCCCACTTGAGAACTTGAAATAGAGCAATTGACAATTGTAAGTCGGTTTGACGTCATACGTAAAGTGCCCGACCCTGACGACCCCGGGCCCAATTTGCATCGGGTTGCCAGTGGGCTATTACCGGTACCCGAACAGGATTACAGGCTCATCGATCGGAGGATCATCGGAGGTCAGCCGGAGGAGGGCCGGAGGTCCGGCCGGCTGATCGGTCTCCGGGCCGAGTTTTCTGATCGCAAAACCTCTAGTGTAACACTGCGCCCTGTTAACCCTTTAACAGCGGGGAATTTCCCACGTCGAAACCGCCGTACTCGAATATTCGATAATCGTAAAAATCGATCGAACCATACGATCGGCCGGCCTCGTGCGATCGAGTTCGGCGTAAGTCATAATAATTGACGGTCCGGCACGCCGGTCGATGACGGTTCGAAGCATTTGACCTGCGCTCTCGATCCACGGCCGCGCCTGCCTTCGCGTGCACGAGCTACGGCCCTAAGTGCGGCTTCTGCGAGGCCTTTCAGGTTGGAGTACTGAACAGACTCTCCAAGTCTATCTTTGCACAAGCTTTGCGAGGCCCCGTTGCTGCTGTTGCCCCTTGTCGCTGTGATCAGTGGAGTAGCAAGACCAAATATTAGGGCAACATACGACGACATAGGCAATGGTCTCTAAGTGATATGCTATTGTCTGTTGCCTTTGTTCCTTTGTCGCTTACATGGTATCAGTACGGGGTTTTCCCAGCCTTATTGCCAGTGTTGCTTTTCAATTTGCGACTGTTGCCAAGACGGTAGCCAGGCATTGCCGGCCCAAAACACCATATATGTTGCTAATTACTATCCATCTGACTGGGAATCAGCTGGGCGGCTGGCGCGCCGCGCCGCGTTCGCCTCCGACTTGCAAGCTCTGCAGAAACGGGGCCTCTTTGTTGCTTACCTTGGTTTCTACATGTTGCTTATTTATATTTATTCTTTTATTTGAGTCTGCAGCCAGTCTGTTGCCTTACTAGGCCCCATTTCTATTGTTGCCCTTTTTACCATTTTGCCTGGCAAAAGGGCAACAAGATAACGGAGGCCTGCACCTGCAGGCTCCCATCGACTGCCCTTGGTCTGGCAGCGGGGGCCCCGTTGTTGCCATGTTGCCTCTTTTCACCTGCCTTGCACAGACGGTTGAGATGGGGGGTGGCAACTCCCAGTTTTCCAGTTTTAAAACATCGTATCTGCGAACTAAAACAAGGGATTTGGCTGTTTTGCAATTTTAAACGGTGTTTTAAAACGTTTTAAAACTGTTTTAAAACGCTGCGATTAGCCTGTTTTGTATGTTTTTTCAAGTTTTTATAGTGGCTATTGGCTTGTTACGAGCTCCTATGTAACTGAAAAGCAAAAATGAATATATTCGTATGTCAGAAAGGGCCCTAATATGTTGAAATATGCCGCTCGCCCTGTTTTGAAAGCAGATTTTGGCGTTTTAAAACGTTTTACTGTTTTGTTTGTTTTATAAAACGGGCTATTTCAGAGATCGCCCAACACGCAGATACATGTTTTAAGATTTTGGCGTTTTAAAACGTTTTGAGACCGTTTTACTTATATGAGGGGGGGTGCAAATTTCAAAACAATAAGTGATTTAGAATCTACAGACAAAGGGCTACACGATGTTATGAAACAAAACGTTGAATACTATATATGTTTTCGATCGTTTTGTCCAAAAGGCAACAAAAAAACACTACCTAATTGTTTTAAAACTGGAGTTGCCACCCCGAGTGAGATGAGGTTGTTGCCCTGTGTTGCAGATGACTGACACATGGCAACAAGCCCAAAGCATGACGTCAGCAACCTCTCCCAACATCCACCATGGACCGGGGGGGCCGGGCCCGACCCTAAGCAAAGTTACCCCTGCACCGCCGCCTCCATCACCCCTCGCTGTTGCCCGGTTGTTCTCACCTGGCAGCATGTTGCTTGGGGCAACAATGCCTACTGGGGGTACGGGTTCCAATGGGGCCCGAACCCCCCCAAATATTTTTGAAACTTTTTTTACATTTTCATTTTGGGTCTTTGACACAGTATCTTCAAGTACTGGGGTCATCGGGGTTTTTTGGGTGCTCTAGCACACGTTTCTAGCAGTGGTGTTACGAATGGCAACGAAAGGCAACAGCCGCTGTTAAAGGGTTAAACACTTCCAGGCTCATTGCTCATTGCCAGACCCGGTGTGACCGGCGGTTTGAGCGGTTCCGGCGGTGTCCGGTCGGACTGGTGGACCGGGCAGCGCGGCGGAGCGTCAGGGCCGAGTGACACTCCGACCGGTAGTCCGGACTCCGAACCGAGAAGTCCCGATGAAACTCAAGAAAACTATTAGTAAGCCCAGAATAAATAGTATTAAGGTATTAAACCGCACTGTGACGGGTAGGGATAGTATGGTGGTTAGGGTGGGTAGAAGTATGTACGGGTGCGGAGCGGGTGTTCTAGTCAGGGTTTTTAAGTTTTAGTCGGAGCTTTTACTACCGGTATTATCTTGGCTTTACTATAATATCTTTGTTGAATGAAGTCTCGGCGCTTCGGGGCCGGTTCGCTGATCATCCGAACTGAGAATGCAATGATTGAATGCGGCCCAGAACACGTCCGCCCGACGCAAGTGCTGCAAAGTTTACGGTACGTGACATCTGAAGGTCAAGAAGGGTATCTGGAAGGTTCGTAGACGAAAGCAGCCAATGCGCAGCGCCCGCAATGTCGGCTTATCAGCGCTTTGCAGCCGTCGATATTCGTGCTTCCAGAAACTCGTGGCTGAGACCTTGCCTGCACGCCATTGGTTCATTGTGGATTTTAAAATCGGCACCTGCACTACCAAGTTCAACTCCAAGAGTCAAGACATCATTGGCATGCCCCCCTGTGGTCCCCCCTGTTCATGAGGTTTACGGTAGCTGCTGCTCTGTCGCTGTCTGCTGGTAGCGCTCAGATTGTCAAGTTGGTTCTGTCTTGCACGTAGCGCGGCATCCCCAGGCCCTGTACGGTTGTTGCTCAGCCGCCATGGCGACCTCCCTGTCCTCCCTGCCCTCCGTGTCCAAGCTGTCCGGCCTGGGCAGCTGCAGCACTGCGGCGCGCGCGCTCGGGGCGTCCAATGGAGCCGCCGTGGTGGCGCGCGTGGGCACCAAGAAGGTGGCCACCACCGTCAAGAAGGCTGCCGCCAAGGTAGCCTCCAAGGCGCCGCGGCCGGCCGCCAGCCGTAGGCCGGCCAGCGGGCCGGACCGGCCGCTGTGGTACCCAGGGGTGCAGGCGCCCGAGTGGCTGGACGGGTCGCTGCCCGGTGACTACGGCTTTGACCCGCTGGGCCTTGCCAAGCCGGCGGAGTACCTGCAGATTGACCTGGATGGCCTGGACCAGAACAAGGCTGTGAACAAGGCAGGGGACGTGATTGGAAAGGTCCAAAAGAAGGCGCAGCTGGTAGACACAAAGAATGCATTCCAGCCTTATGATGAGGTGTTTGGGCTGACGCGCTTCCGGGAGACGGAGCTGATCCACGGGCGGTGGGCCATGCTGGGGGTATTGGGGGCAGTCGCAGTGGAGGCACTTACGGGAGTGCACTGGCAAGACGCCGGAAAGGTAGGGTGGCCCTATGTTGTGCAGGCACGCCTCCTGCATTTGCTGACTACTGTCAAGCCTCTTGTCAGGAGACATGAAGATCAGACACCTTTAAATCTGGGGCCGCACAATGTGGTAATTTGATAAGGATTTGGAGGGTGTTCGGCTGAAGATGAACCGTCAGGAACAGCATCCGATGTTCATTGCAGGGACCACAGCAGTTGTTGGTTCAATTCATTCTTTTTCTATGGAGTTGAGCTGGTGCTGCAGTCTGGTTGCTACGTCCTCCTGCTTCGGAAGCTAACAGGGCTGTATGAACCTGCCAGCCATGTTTGCAAACTTTCAAACGGTTCCTGGACAAAGGGGTTTTTCTGTTGTCAGTTTCAGCTTCCCCACATTCAGTGCTATGTCGTTTCTGGCGCTTGACCCAGCGTCTGGCATATGACACCTAATGCTGCAGGATCGCTTTGTAGTAAAATTAAACTGTCCATTCCCTCAATCTTGTTCTCACTGGCAGCCCCAATCTTCAAGGGTTTCCAATGCTCAGCGCTCTCTGCCTGCTCTAGCAGCCTCCGTTGACCGTATGGCCGTCGGTGCATTGCCTCTAGGTGGAGCTCGTGGACGGCGCGTCGTACTTGGGCCTGCCCCTGCCCTTCGACTTGCCCACTCTCACCATCATTGAGGTCCTGCTAATCGGATACATCGAGTTTGCGCGTAATGGCGTGACGGACCCTGAGGAGCGCATCTACCCCGGCGGATACTTCGACCCCCTCAACCTCGCGTCCTCCCCAGAGAAGGCCGCGCAGCTCAAAGTAGCGGAGTTGAAGCACGGGCGCCTGGCGATGGTGTCGGCGCTGGGCTTCGCCGTGCAGGCGTTTGCTACTGGCACCGGCCCCCTCGACAACCTGGCACAGCACTTGGATAGCCCAACCACAAACACGATCTTTGACACGCTATCAAAGTAAGCAGTTGCATACGGATTTCTTGTACCCCCATTGATACAGACAGGGTCACTAGCACAACAGACGTCAGGCCAGGGTCATGGGCATCTGCTACAGACCATAAATCTGCCCCGCCAAGCTAGGTCGCTTCTGGTCGGTCTGATTGTTGTTGCTGTTTGGGAACTAGCTTGACGCTATTGTACATTCAGAGGGCTGCCTGCGGTGTGTTTGCCCCAGGCGGCCACGGAAGACCATTACCTGTTGTTACAAGCCGCCTTCGTAGGGGCCCATACATATTACGGGACTCTGTCCCGCATGCCGGCTGGGAAGCAGCATGTCGATCATGCACCCTTGTTTGAGCATAATCCTGTTCAGCTTTCACAACTGAAAGGTTGTTGCAAATCGAGTGTTCACAACGTCGTGACTTCACTGCCTCGGTTGCAAAGCCTTGAGGCCTAAAATCAAGAGATCAGCTGGTCGCGGATTTGAAAGACAGCACGGGTCCAGCTTAGCATGCAAATTGCTGCCGAACTGTGCCATTGACCTCGAAAATGTTTGCAGCAACGTTCTTCTGGTGGCACCGTTGCATAAAAGGGATGGAGGGCAGATCCAAGTTTCTTCATGAATGCATTTTAGCAGTCCCATGTTTCTTTTCGATCCTTGCTCGAATACAACGGTATATTCATTGTTGGTCACCATGAGCCGGAATCCATGTTTTTATGATGTTGCTTGTACCTGCGCTTAATCCGCACTAGATATTTGAGTCGTCAGATGACATTTCTCGATTCAACACGTTGCTATTACTGTTCACATGGAAAAAAGGTCGAATGGGCACATCACCCGAAGTGACTTTTGCTGCCAGCCTATAACGAGTATCCGATTGTGAGCAAATAAATACCATGTCTAGAACTCTCAGACTCGTACATGAATGCCTGGGCCATGGTCACTCGGTTCTTAATTTCATATACAGTGACGATCTGGAAACTCTCTAGGGAAACTCTAGTATACTTCGACACTAACTTTGATCGAAGCAATCATAGCCGGATAGTTTACGTGCGCAGAGACGCTCCTAATCAGTGTATTAAACAAGAACAAGAACTGCATCGAATCTACCTTCAAATAATGACCCATTGATGTGCACATGTGTATGTAGACCCTGAAGATTGCATGCCCAGCTAGCTTGACAATGCAACTGTCGAATTAAGGATGATATATGCTTTGAGATCGCACGGAACTGCGGGCTCGAATGATTGACCCAAAATGGTCGCGAAACCTGACGCTGGCCCTAGTCCTTTACTTTCAATGACAGCTTGAAGTTCGTACTCAAGTGCTCATGCCGCTCCGCAATGCATAGAGCCGTGAATGAACAGTGCATTCCGCGAAATTAAAACAAGTGCACTAGGTCTCCGTCCGCCTGAGACCACGCCTAATGCGGATTAGTAACATGAAGCTGGGCTTTGAACTCTTTGCAAAGTCTAGACCAAAAGACTATCGACGGATGAGGCCCTGTCGCACAAAGAGCAAACAGTAAACCAGCATTCAAACTAGCATGACAGGGCAACTTCAATACTGGCCGACCAAAGAGGAAGTGGCAAGCCCATTTGGCAACAACTTATCCATCCGACAGCTAGAAGAAAGGTTGGACAAGAAGGTGAACTTATGAAGTAGGACGTACATGCTCCCGTCTTGGATCACCGAACATTTCTCGAACAACAGATTTCTTCTTCAATCTAACGCCCATGTACTAGCGCCATCAAATACTCCGCACAAATCGACAGCGCGAAGTGACAAACATGTCGAGGTCCTTACATATTACAAGGCAATCCAATTAAAAAAAAAAAAAAACTTCCTCGAACCCGTTATTTGTGATGCGATGCTGGCAAGAGTGCACGTTTACAAACATAATTGTATCTAAGCTCCAACAACTTTTAAGCTGAAGCCTCTCTATCACATACAAGACCTCGTTTATGGTAACCAAAGGCTCAAGCCGCGTGCTCCAATGCCTCCTGAAGTTGCAGGTCAAAGTGGAAGACACCTGATGCAAAGAACAGTTTGCCAATCAGCAACACGTGATGAGAAAGTTTCAGACCAATAGAAGTTCAATTGATAGCAATGCGATTGACAAACCTCAGCTCAGATCCTGAACAGCCATTATCCAAACGATAGAGACTCCACATTCAGCACAGATAGCCTGTAGACGCGGTGCGCTTGCAGGCCTCACCGTGTCCCTTGCCCACTCTCCTCAGCTGCGAGACGTACTCCGACACCTGCTTGATGGCCTCCACCTGCACACGCACACCACACGAGCGGTCATGCGCCTAGATTTCTACATTGCACCGCAGCCCTCAAGTTCACCGTCAATGTGGCGGTTGGCACTCTGACAACCTGTCCCCCCTGCTCCCTGATTCGCCCAGGCAAACCAGGTGCCCAGTGCAGGCAGCATGGATCACTCCGCCGATGTTCCGGAGGTGCGGGGTGGCCTGACCTGCTCCTCCAGGAAGTTGCCCTCGATGAAGTCGGTCATCTGCGGGTCGTCAGACTCCTCTGCCGTCTTGTGCAGCGCCAGCAGCTTCTCGTTGGTCAGCTTCTCCAGGCACAGCGCCAGCTCCATGGCTGCACACACACACCAACAGCTTCAGCGCGCGCTACACAGCACATGGCACACAGCACGAGCAAAGCACCGCCACCCTGCCGGCGCCATGCCGGCGTACACAAGGGCGAAGATGGTAGGGCCCAATTCAAGTGCACTTGCTTTGCGAATTGCCCTGTTGTTGCTGCTAGTCTGGAGGGGACATCACACACCACCAATGGGGCCCAGCTCACCGTAAAGGGCATCCCCCTTGTCGCTGTGATCGTACTCCGTCTGCGGTGCCAGAATGGACTGCAGCTTCACGCGGCCCCCCCGGATGTTCTGCGCAGACACACAGAGGCGACATGTTGCCCATGTGAGCCACTGCCTGCGGCACCTTCAAGGAACACATTGAACAACCAGCTTGCACACACAGCGCGCAGCCTCCTTGCACAAGGTAGCCTGGAGCCCCTCTTGCTGGGTGGACCTGCAGCCGTATGGGGCATGGGGCCGGCCAGCAGGCCCCCGCGCAGGGCGGCGGGCGTGCTGCACGTGCTCACCTGGTACTTGATGAACATCTCAGCATGCTCGCGCTCCTCCAGGGCGCTCTGCCGGAAGAACCTGCACCACCACCGCACATCAGCGCCATCCCAATTGGCGCATGCAATTGAAGACAAGACAGACACGCCGCACCAAGACTTGCCCACAGCAAGCCACTTGTTCAATCTGTCCAGCAGCATTTCCAGGCAGAAGGACCTGTACTTGCAGAAAATACTCACATTCAGATTGGAATTAGTGTAAAGGCAGCATCAACTTGATGCAGATTATGGGTGGGGTTGGACAGTTTGACCCCCACGCAATCGCTGTCAATTTCTAAATGCTCGCAGGCGGTATAAGGATGCTCCCCTCTCTAGAACCCGGAGCAGCTAGGGTCGGAACTCACTTGGCAAGGCCGGGCAGGGCGACATTGTCCCGATCAAAGTAGGCGGCCAGGGCATGGTAGATATAGCTGTTGTTGTACTCCACGCTGCAGCACCAACAAAGAGCAGGCTCAACAGGCAGCCCAGGCGACGAACAGGGGCTTGGAGAATATCCCCAAAAAACTCCGCACAAAATGCAGAACCATTACCATATTTTGAGGCGCGCAGCGGCTCTATGGATGCAGCTGCCTGAAAAAGGTTTCTGTCCTGCGCATAGCAGCGCTGCTACCAGCCATTGACAAAACCGTTGCTTTTGCACCCTGAGATTTGAAGGCAGGGGGAGGTTGGAACTCAGATTTAATCAGGCGGACAGCAGAACTGAGCGAATGCCATGTGAAGCCAGGCGGGCGGGGCAAGCTGCTGGCAGCATGGCACATGCTTTTCGCAGGGTCAACGACAAGAGGTAGCTTGCAAGAGAGCTCCCCTCACTTGATTTGCTCATTAATCCCCGCCTCTGCCGCCTGCGAGAAGCGCTGCCGGGCAAACGACTCCTGCGATGTCTCGGGGACGCTCTTGACCAGGCCCTGCACCTCCTGGAATGGCTCAAACACCACGCCAGTCAGGGTGGCCTCCTTGCTCTCCACCTCCTGCGCCCGCACAGCGCTCGGCCGACGGGCCGGCAGTGGCGGCGTGGCATGCCCCCAGGAGACAGCACTAAAAGCAGGAACGAGGGGGGCAGTCGCTGCTGTGCCAGGGCGACAGTGTGACAACCTTGTGCTGCTGAATGGTGCCCCCAATTGGACGGCGCTCCCAGAGAGCAATGCTGCGGATGCCGCCATAGCTGATCTGAGCTTGTTCCGAGCTGCACAAATGTGATGACCGCTGCTTCAGCCTCTCGAGTGATCACAGTGACAGTGACACAGCTGAGCACTGCATAGGATAGCGAGCACACCATCTGCCATTGGCATTGGCATGAACCTGGACTAAGCTGGACTCGAGTCTTTTCGGTCCCACTCAGATCGGGACATGGACAAAAATTCCGCCGTTTTGATTGGGCCGCGTGTCAAATCGACCACGTGTCGATCATAGACGGGGGTCCGAGTTGCGGGAAATTGAATCTGATGCAACGTCATTTGGACGTCACTTTTCGAATGTCAAGGGATCGGACGGCCACAGTGAACCCATTGCTGTATCGAACGGCCTTTGGGGGCCATTTGATATTCCTGATTTCGTCTTTTAAAAGCTATACCCTCTTTTATATCTAGAGCTCTTTTTTCCTCTTTTCTTCTCTTCGTTTCTCTTTTCTCTCTTCTTTTCCCCTGTACCTCTTGGCTGTGAGTGGGACCCCACCTGTGATATTTATCCTACGTAGCAACGTAGCTTCGAAACAGATGTCACGCGAAGATTCACACTACGTATGGCAACGGAGTGTTGACTAATAAAATAGGTATTCCAGTAATCCAGAAGCCCCCGGCATAGTCCGGGCAAACATACCAAATTAAACCCCTTACTTAGGTACTATAAAGCATCCTTACCGGTATAGCGCTCCGCACCCATAACCACCCTAACCACCAAACCAAACCTAGGTACCCGTCCCCCGGTTGCCTACGTTTTGAACACTTCGTTAGGGAAAAACTGAATTGAGAGTCGGAATGGGTACAAAACTCAGCAAGAGGGAGGATTGATCTCCCACCGTCCATTGTTTCTGGCGCAAAATCTAGCCCTTCACGACCGTCCGTTCACTACCTTGTTTCCTTACAAAATTCAAATTCATTGACTCGAGTCCAAGGCTGCTGATCAACAGTGACATCAACAATGTCCGAGGCTGCAGGGCGCCCATGGGCCATTTGCAACTTGCAAGCGATGCCATGGATGGCTTTCACGGGTTCACCGAACACCATACCGTATCCTTCAGGCCTCTCCAACTGGGGAATGTACCGTAGATGGTGAAGTTGAGGTGAAACTTGGCAATCTGGAGTTGCTGTAATTCATGGAGGGCATCGTCGTACTGCGTTGGTGAATACTGGAGAGCGGCACCAGTCATGTTCGTTTTGGCGGGAGGTCTTTGACAGGTCTGATGGAACTTGGATCAGAACCACTCAGCAGCATGGAGTGGGCAAAGAAGGTGATGGAAGAAATGATGGATGCCACGGTGCATTCTGATGGCGTGGCTCCTGGCCTGTCTGGTCATGCCATTGAGGCTCTGGCCAGCATCTTTGGTGGACAGCTTACAGCAGGCACGATGAATGGAGATGGAGGTGTGAATGAACAGGATGCGCCGCCGGTGCCCAGCAGCCAGCTGAGCGAGCTGTGGGCAGGCCTGGCGGGAAGCTCCGGGCGGTTGAGCCAGCTGGTGTCGGGGCTGCGGCACCCCATGGAGGGCGGGGGGCCCGCAGGCCAGGGGGCTGCCGCAGCCTACTTGGGCATGCTTCTTGCCCCAGGCTGCCCGCTGTACAGCCTGTTTGACACACTGACTTTCCTGGCGCTGCTCAAATGCATACAGGAGGCGAGCAGAGAGGAAGCCAAGAGAGGTGAATGATGCTCCAGATTGTTTGCAGACACCAAATGGCACATTCTTGTATAGGTTTCAAGAACAAAAAAGCTACAAGAAGCAATAGGGCCGGCCACCGAGTGGGTCCCACTTCAGACAAAGCTTGGGGCCATATGGAGTGGAAAGGGTAAAACCATTAGGGACAACACAGTGCTGGCGCATAGAAGGTGTCTAGTTGCCCTTCCAATTCTCTGAGCAGATCTGGCTGCCAAAATGCTTTACCATTGCTTGTGTCGTCCAGCTGATGACGTCGCTGCTTCCAGAGCCTGGCAGCGACCTCACCTTTCCATCTGGTTGCTCCACAGACATTGGGAGTCGCACGGGGGAGATGTCAAAGAAAAAGGCCGGGAAGAGGCGAGGGGGAACCCGCGATGAGTCTGAGCCCTGCGATGCAAGCGAGCCTGCCCTGGATGACGTGGACACAGGAGGGAGTGCAACCTATGCTCCGAACCCCGGCCATGCGGCGAGGTTAGCAAGACGGCTGGTCACCGGAGACCTCCTGGTTGGCCTGACGAAGCTGCTCGGGAAGCTGCCCCTGGCCGATCAGCCAGAGGCCAGGAAAGTGCTCATTGACACACTAGCGGAAGCGGCCCGGGGCGGAGCCGCGGGTGGGGGCCAGCGTGCCACTGAAGTTGCGTACGCGGCGCTGCTCCGGCTCTTTGAGCTGGAGCATGGTGTGCCACTGGAGACAGGAGTGGCCATCATGCGGGCAGTGACGCCCAGTGTGCTGCTCGCTTATGAAAGCACAGGAGGGACGCCGGATACCGAGCAGCGGCCGGCGAGACGGGGGGACGAGCAGGGCAGGACGAGGGCAGGCGTGCGGGCCCGGGCGATTGCGTTTGTGTCCCAAGATGTGCTGGAGTGGGCTAGGGCACAGGACGAGCAAGGGGGGCTTGACGGCAGCGGTCAGGGCGCGCAAGCGGACTGTCCTGAGAGTCCCATTGCTGGTCCGTCTGAGGGCGGTGGCCAAGCAAGGACCCAGGCGGCCCCACAGCAGCCAAGGAGTACGAGTGGGAAGGCCGTGCGTCTGGCAGTAGCAGCAATGCTGCGCCACCTGTCGCTGAAAGCAGCAGATTTGAAAGCGGACGGCCGGGCCCTGGCAGTGGACGCAATTGGCTGCATTGCTGCACAGCTGGACAGTGGGGATCTGCATAAGTTCGCAAAGTTTGTGCTCCGACTGTCAAGGTAAGCCCTCGTTGGGCGTGACTTTAGGTTGGAGCTACTGGCACGCTTGATGTCTTGATCTGTTCAGAAAAGTATCTGCTAACTCGGTCTTCGTTCTGTCAAGATTCGGCCTCAAGAGCCCCCACTGGCAAGCCGAAATTGGGCAACGGCCTTCTGAAAGCTTTGACTTCTCTGGCGCCATCCTAGAACACAGCCGCATCATCTCCTTGCAGGAACGCCAAGGTGTCCTTGCGCCACTTTGCTGTGGACCTCGCCGTGGGCCTGCTCACTCAGCTGGCGGACCCCTTCCACCATGACAGCCCCCTCCCCGCTGGCAGCCCCCCCCCTCCAGTTCCCCCTCCTGTCCCCCTCTGCCAATCTCGAAGCTTCGCCTGCCCCGTCCTGCTCCGCCCCCTGTGCTCCTGTGGCTTGGCCGTGGGGCGCCCTGTGCTTTGCTGCCCTGCTGCAGCGCTGCTCTGACAAGGCCCCCCAGGTGCGCTCGCGCGCCCTCACCAACCTGGCCACCGCCTGGGACCACGCCTGGGCCGAGCCGCGCCACCGGCCCTTCCTCCTGGACCTCCTGGGCCTGCACCCGCCACGAGAGGGGCCCCCGCAGGCAGCAGCCACCCCGCACTGGAACCCCTGGGGCGCAGTGGGGAGGAGCCCCAGCCCCCTCCCGGGGGACCTCTCCCCAGCAGCCTCCACCGCGCAGCCTGGCCCCGGGCCGTCCCCGCTGACCCCCGAGGCCGCGTACCGCAGCCTGGGCCCGCTGCTGCGGCGCAGGGCTGGCGACGGCAAGGCAGCCGTGCGGCGGGCGGCCCTGGGCCTGATGGAGCAGCTGGTGCGCGGCGCGGGGAGTGCGCCCCACCTGGGCGCCAGAGACGGGCCGCCCGAAACTCCGGCGCAGCCTCCTGGGGGCCGGGGCACGCCTGCGGGGAACAAGGTGGGGGCGTTCCCCACAGGTGCGGACCTGGCAGTGATGGAGGCGGCGTGCAGCGACCCCGCGCTGAGCGTGCGCAGGGCGGCCCTGGGGGCGATCTCTGCGGTGCTGCGACGCTGGCCGGGCAACGCCGCGGTGGCCAACGCGTGGGCGCAGGCCGTGCTGCCCATGGTGGCAGATACGGAGCAGAGCGTGCAGGTGAGGGGCGCACACGGCAACCGCACGAGACTGGGCCGCTGGCCTGAGACGCAATGTTTTCCTGTGTGTCAGTGTTCTGGCCTGAATCAGTTTATGCAGGCCACCTTAAGTGTTGGAAAGACGTCCTTTCGAAAAGGGCGACGCAGCATGTCACGTTTTCCCCACCCAACTACTCCTTCGCAGTCAGCCTGACAAGCCTTATCCTTATGACTCCCTCTTTCCCCCTGTCGACTTAACTCTTCGCCCTCTGCCCCTGCCAGGAGCGCTGCCTCGACCTGTTTCAAAAGCTCGTGCTGGACCGCGTTGCCCAGGCGGGGCCCACCGTGGCTCCGCCCCAGGGCCCTGCCAGGGCGAGCGGGGAGCCTGGTGTGCCACGCGAGGTGATCACCGCCCTAGGCGCCTTATCCCACCGCGGCGGCCCTGCGCCGGCCTGCCTCACGCGTCTGTGCGGCCTGCTGGCCAAGAAGGGTCGCCTCCAGCCGGGCGTGGCGGCCGCGCTGCAGCGGGTCATCATTGTAGCCGAGCGGTGGGGCACCAGCCGGCCCCAGGCGCCACGCGGGGCCTGGCTCCTGCTGGCAGAGGCGGCGGCGCACACGCCGGGGGCGGTCTCGTGGGAGTTCCTTCAGAGCCGGTGGCGAAAGCTGGGGGAGAGCGAGGACGGGAGTAAGGGCGGCGAAACGGGGCGGAACTACGGCACAGCGGGGCAGGAACGGGGCGGGGCCAGCGCTTCAGCGGCGGTGGAGGACCGGGTGTGCCTCCTCCGGACGATTGTGCACGTGGCGGCATGCTTCCCCGAGGACGCTGCGGCCCGCCTCGCCTCCGCCCTGCTGGCGAAGCTGCACAACTTTGCGCTGCGGCCGTGCGACGTGGGCCCGCACGTGGACGCCCTCGTGGTCCTCTGCGCGCGCACTCCGGGCGGGCAGGCCCAGCTGCGGCACACCGCGGCCGGCCTGCTGGAGCGCGCAGCCGACCTACTGGCAGCCCACGTCCGGGCAGGAGCGGGCAGCGAAAGAGCGGCCCAGCCGGACGGTCCCCCTGTGCCCTACACAGCGCCTGACAGCAGTGCTGCGGTGCCGTCGGAGGCAACGGTGGAGACCGCCTTGTTCACGGTGGGCGCGCTGGTGCAGGCCGCCAGTGACGGCCCGCCGCCCCCCCGGCTGGTGACGCTGGTGCAGTCCCTGGTGGCGGCCCCGTCCTCGGGCCGGGCCGTGCCCCGCGTGGCGGCGCATGCCTGGGTGGCGCTGGGCAAGCTGTGCCTGGCGGACGAGCGGCTGGCCAAGCGCTGCATGCCGCTGCTGGTGCAGGTGAGGGGAGGCGGGCGAGGAAAGAGGCGAGACGACTCTGGGTGCTTTGAAGGAGACGGGATGAGAGTCAGGCACCGGACGCCAGGCCTGCCTGCGTCCTTATGCGTACCTCCCGCCGTGGTTCTTGTGTTGAACCACGGCATGTGGCTCTGGTGCAGGAGCTAGAGGGGGCTGCGTCTCCGGCGGTGCGCAACAACATCCTGGTGGCGCTAGCGGACCTCTGCGTCCGCTATACCGCGCTTGTCGACAGGTCAGCCGCACCCCACGCTCGACCTCTCGACCACTGTCACGGCATCAGCCTTGCGAGGCCCTCAGGCTTGGCAGAGTGCCTTGAATTATCTATCTAGTCCGAGTTCCTTTCCCAGGTCTCTCGGAGCCCCCTTCTCCTCTGCCGTCTCTTCCTGACCCTGTTCCTTGTCTGTTGCGGCGCCAGCTGGGTGGGGCGGCTGGCGGTGTGTTTGCGCGACGCGTGCGAGGTGGTGCGGCGGCAGGCGCTGCTGCTGCTGGGCAGCCTGCTCCAGCGCGAGTACGTCAAGTGGCGCGGCCCGCTCTTCCACCGCGTCCTGCGCGCCCTCGTCGACGACTCGCCCGCCGTGCGCCGCCTCGCGCACTGCCTCTTCCACGACGTTCTTGCCGGTGAGCCGCACCGGCAGCAGCACCGCAAACACGGCCGGTGCTCGGAATGGCAGGGCGCGACCGTGTCAAGGCGTCCCTAGCCGGCTCAGGCGTCCCCACTTCGCAGTTGACCATAGGAGTATCTACAGCGTCAATCGCAATGGACATGTCACGGTCACCGCAACAAAGTTGAGCAGCAATCTGCATGGCTTTCCAACGGAACGGCTGCCGCACATCACCCTGCCATCGCCAGCTTCGCTCGCTTACTGGTGGGAGCTTTCTTGCAAACGTCGTTTGGCAAATGATTTGTGTTGCAGAATGAAGTAGCGGCCTTTCTGACGTGCACCAACACGGGCTGACTGGCTGGGCACCTGCACAATCGTTTTTCTCTTTGCCTGGCCGACTTGCACCTGGCTCCGTCGAGTTGAGCAACAATCGTCGGCAGTCATGGCCTGATTCACTCTCGAAGGAACCTGCGGAAAGCGAGATGGACGTTCCTGCCAGCTTCGCCGCTGCTGCGCCGCTGAGCGCGATCTGCCTCCGACCGGTTGTTGAGGCCCGGCCGTGCGTGTGCGTGCAGCGAAGGCCCCGCTGCTGGCGTACACGCACTTCGTGGAGGCGCTCTCCGTGCTCAACGACTGCCCCGCGCTCCACTCCGACACCGTGCGCGCCGCCTCGCAGCGGGAGCGCGACCTCTTCTCCATCAAGTGAGCCGGCCAGCCTCGTGACAGCACCGCAGGACGCCTTAATTTCCTCCTCCACATGTCCGCCTGGTCTCTGCCTTCCTCGAGCCGTCTGCCCAGGCCTGGATTGTCTCACCTCACCAGGTGGCCTCCCGCTTCGTCTTTCCACCGTGGGCGGCTGTGCGCGTGACCCGCCGCTCTTGGTTGCTGCGTGCAGGGGCCTGGACGCGGGCGCGCAGGCGCAGCGCGTGGTCATCTACGACGCCCTCCTGGCGGCCATGGCGCCCGAGCACCGCTTCGCCACCACCGCCAAGCTCTGCGCCGAGGTCAGCGCCGCCGCCTCCCGCTCGTGGGCCACTGCACCTTACCTAACCAAAGGAATCTTTCCTGCGACAAACTCCTGAGGACTTTGCGTGTCGCTCTCCGCAACCCGTTCGCCTGAAATCGATTTACACGTGCAGATCCTGGGCGGCGTGGCGGAGGGCGCGCTGGCCCTGCCTGCGTGCGCGGGCGTGCTGCTGGACGCGCTGACAGTGGTGGCCAGCAAGGCCATCCGCGCGGGGGCCAAGGGCCGCGCCGACGCCGACGACGACGCGCCCGACGACGGCGCGGGCGGGGCCGCGGCGGCTGCGGCGGCGGCCAAGGGACGGCTGGTGTCGGCGGTGATGAAGAAGAACCTGATGGAGAACGTGGTGCCCATCCTGATCGAACTCAAGAGGTGCGGCTTTACTGCCCGGCACTGCCGAGGTAGTTCAGCAGCCCCCTCGGCACTGAATAACGTGTCGGACCATCCTCTAGGAGGCTGTGCACCGTCACGCTATGCTCGCGGTGTTGAGCTGTCGTTACACAAACCTGACAGCTTGCCTGATGATTCTTACCCGTTTGAAGCTTCTGGAGTGGTCAAGGCGACAGGTTCCTTGAGCCGTGTGCGGGGCTACGGTGCGCGCAGGGTGCTGGAGGAGGCGCGCAGCCCGCTGCTGGGCCCGCTGATGGAGTGCATCCGCAGCCTGCTCAAGGAGTACAAGGCCGAGCTGGACGACATCTTCGCAGCGGACCGCCAGGTAGGCCGCCCCGCCGAACCGCACGGGCCACCGCTGAGGAGTGAAGCACTGCGTGGCTCCGGAGGCGCGAACAGCTTGAGACATCATACGCTTGCGGGATGGAAGCGGTCTGTGTGATTTCAATGCGTCGTAAGATGACTGGTGGGTTCCATTGCCTTGCCCGCAGTGTGTGCTCTTTCCATGCGGCCTCTCTCTGCTTCGCCAAGGAGGCTGCCGAGCGCGATCCCGCTCGTTGTCCCGTGAGCTCGGTCCTGGGCTGACCCGCCGTGTGTGCTGCGTGGCAGCTGGGCAAGGAGATTCTGTACGACATCCAGAAGCACGAGGCCGCCGCCAAGGCCGCTGCTGCCGCCGCCCGCCTGGCCACCCCCGCCACCGCCGCCACCCACCGGCAGGGCGCCCCGAGGACCGGCGGCGCAACTCCACGTGGCACCCCGACGACTCATCGCGGAGCAGTGTCGGGTCGGACAGTCGGCAGGAGGCCGGAGCAGCTGACCGCTCTTGAGTCGATTCGAAGGACCGGCGGCGCAGGCTCGGCTGGGGCCATGGGAAGGACACCTACCAGTCTGCATGGTGCACCGGTGCCCGCGCAAGTCGGGGAGGGGGCTGGCGGGGCCACATCAGCGGGAAGGCGCGACGGCGGGGGAGCGGAGCCCATGGCGAGCAGCCCCGCGGGCGCCGCCCCGCCAGCGGCAGGGCAAGACGAGGTAGCGCAACCCGCGGCGGAGCACCGGGATGAAGAACCGTCGTTCGAGTTCCAGCTGCCACAGCTCGATGTAGATCCCCCAACGCCGCAACAGACACGGCGGCTGGCCGGCCTTTTTGACGGTTTGGCGGCTGATGCGGGCCACGTGCCCGAGGCAGGTATGCCGGGCAGAGGAGGGGGCCTCACTGAAGAAGCGAGCTTCGAGAACGGTGGGCAGACCGGGAGCGGGGCCAGGGACACAGGGTGGCAGCCGGACCCCAGCAGCAGCACCCCCGTGCGCCCGGCAGCCTCATTCGCGGCGGCCTTCCTGAGCCCGCCCCTCCGCCCCGCCCGCACCCCACTTGCCCGCTCCACGTTAGCCACGCCCCTGCCCGGCGGGCGGCCCCAGCTGGGCACGCCTGCTGCGCGCACCCCCGCGGCCACGCCCGCGCCTGGCCCGGGCAGCAGCGGCCGGAGCCCCACCCTGGGGCTCGTGCTTCAGGAGGGGGCCGCGGCCACTCCCTCCCTGCGTACGCTCTCCGTGCCCCGGCTGCGGCCAGGGGCGTCCCGCTGGGCCGAGCGGCAGGCACGGGCAGCGGCCCCTGGAGAGGACGGGAGGGCGCAGCGGCCAGCGGCAGAGCGGCGCGCGGAGGGGAAGGCGCCGAAAGCTGGGGCGGGCGCGGAGCGGAAAGGCGGCGGCGAGGCGGCGGAGGAGCAGGAGAACAGGATGCCGCTGCCGTCGCCGCTGCCGGTCAGGGTATATGCGCCAGGGGCTGCAGAAGGTGGGGGGCGCGGCCAGCAAGCGGGGAAGGGGCGCCACGGGCGGATGTCTCACTGCCTCAATGATGTCACGTGTTGGTTGATGCTCCCAAGCTCATGATCGAAACGAATTCGGCATTCGTACAAATCGAGAATGCGCATCCTGTCACTTCGTGGGATCAAAGCCTGCAAATCACGAAAGGAAATACGCCTCGAAATGCTCCCCGTTTTGTGATCTCAAGCGTAATCGAATCGGAGGCAATTCCTCACTGCTGACTGATCGAGTCCGGCAACGTCAATCCATGGGTTGCCTGCCCTTCCGCTCCGTGTCGCTCCTCACTGGCCCTTCCTCTGCTGCTCTACTCAGGTGGCAGGCCGGGCGGGGCGGCCGTGCTGCTCTTCTCGCCGGACCAGGCGCTGCCCCCCCTGCGGCAGTGGAACGTGCAGCTGCCCGACAGCCAGGTCAGCGCCGCAACGCCGCCTTCCGTCCGTCAGCCCTTCGCACGCTGCCTTGTCCTCTCCTAGTTGTGCAGCCGCTTAGCGGCAGCTGTCGCTCATGCTGGCTGCCTGGACTGGCCGCAGCGGGGTGGGGGCCTATGCGTGGTCGTCGCTCGGATGCACGGGTGCCGCAGATGAGAGTCTTTCCTGCATGAGCTTGCCCCTTGCTGCGTCCAGGAGACCACGAAGCGGCCGCACCGCACCCCCTCCAAGAGCCCGCTGGGCGCCCCTGCAGCGTCCTCGCCCTCCCCGACTGCCGTGCGGGACCTGCACAGCAACCGGCTCCGCACAGGGCTCGCACCCTGAGCCGGAACATGACCGCTCAAGAGAAAAGGGTGCCGCAGCTGAGACGAAGTCTTGATTGCCACTGTGCAACACACATGTGCTTGGTACACTACGTTTATTTAGTGGTCCGACTTATGCATACATGATGTGGACCTTTTCAGCTATAAATGTTGGGTCTATTTGGTTTCTTTCCGTCCAGACCGAAACTAGAATTAAGCAGTGTGCATGAGCCTGCGCCTTGGTTACGCAAAGAATTAGTTACAGTCTAGAGCGACTTTAATGAGCACTCCTAACGCATGTACTTTCAAGTTCGAGATGGACGAACACATTTGCAGTATGGAGTTTCTTCCGCTCAATTGGATGACTTCCCGGCCCGAAATCCGTCTGGGCCTATTATACGCTGGCACCTCTTCAACAAATGCTCAGTACCTTTAGTATTTGAGTACCTGTGCAGCCTATAGCACAGCTTCGGGCCTGCGCACGAACTAATCATCCATATGGCTCGCACTTGGACTGGCAAAGATAGCAATCGCGTGCCGCATTGTCGATGAACACTGGCAAGCCAGCCATGCAGCTAAATGACAAATTATGCACATCCTTCTACGTATGCATGGTCCACACGTACACAACTGATGACTACTGCATGGTCACTGACGGCGTGATCATACGTGCAACTTCTTGCACTTAGACATATGAATCGTCAGCAGTATATCTCTGATTTTATATCTAGCGATCGAGTGGTTTTCGGCATGCATGCCAGCTCTCGACCACATTCAATCAATAAAATATATATCTTCTACAGTAATCAATTGCTAGCCGTGAGCGTCAGGGCGGCCGGGCGGCTCACTTGCATGTGGCCACTGTTATTGCACTTCCCGTGCGGTCAGATGACTACTGCGTATACAAAGCTGGCTACATATCATGAAATGCAAGCATGCCGCGCGCACCTTTTGCGTGCAATAAGTCTGCCGCGCTTCTTCCGCTGCAGCAATGGGTAAGTACAGGGATTTTGACGGACGGACGACAGGTACATAGGGCCCTCGCCTGCAGAGACCGTAAAAGAGTGGTCAACATCCGGAATGAGAAGGCCGGAGCAAGCATGCCTGTATTGAGGTGATCTTTGCGAGTCTGAACGCGAGCTAAGCGATCGGCTGCCCGTGCTTCGATATTTTGGGGCCATGCTGCTGACGGCCCTGATGCGAACTCGTTTCAGGACGCTGAAGCTCGAAAGTCAGTTCTTCACTTGCAGAAGAGTTCTTAAATTGCTCCCACCGCCCAGGAATGTGCCAGAGAGGGATGGCGGTACACGTGCGCCCACAATCTGATCTCAGAAGATCTGCTCTGCCATGGGTGCGATGCGCAGAGGCGTTCACTGTTCCCCACCCGGTGTGCGTGCCTCGCTTCAGCTGCCGTTGGGCTTGCGGGGCCAGGGGATGACGGCGCTTGTGTCGCGCAGGTACGCTTGATACGCGGGGTCGCCGCCCCACCGCTTGTGGGCGCCCTTCTCCACCATCGGCAGCTGCGCAAAAGGCCACAGCGGCGTCAGCCGATAGCAGGGCGAGCCAAGGCAAAGCCGTTTGCGGACATCTCACGGGATCGGAAGAGGAGAGAAGCACTCATCTAAATAGCGACAGCCGTCCGCATTCAGCGCCCCAGACTCTGTCCGAGCCACTTTGGGGAGTGCCGCACAGATGCCGGGGCTTACCCCGCTGACGTTGATGGTCAGGTGGTACGACAGGAGGGGGCTCAGGAAACCTGCACGAGGAGGAGGCAGCAGCTTACGCACAGGCAGCCCGGACGCCACAGCGGGGAGGCACACGAGGCTCCCCAAGCTGGCCACTGCCGGCATCCAGGCCAACGAGACTGCTCCCGCTAGGTTGACCATGAGAGTGGAAACGTATCGGTGCTTGCAACCAACAACAAGCATCTTTGTTTAGCAACAAGTATACCGCTTGTCCGAACGCGAAGGGCTCACATGCTGCGGCAGGGAGGGGCTGCAGGGCAGACGCGGCACACAGCGCGGCGCCCGTCCACAGCGTGATCTCGCCAAAGTAGTTGGGGTGGCGGCTGTACCTGCGGCAGCGGCAGGGCGAAACCAGGTCGAGGGCAGCCGCAGATAGACAACGGAGGCAGGCCGGCACAAAAGCTTCTATACAAAGCGGTGGGGTCGGAAATGATTAAACATTGACGGCGGGCCGGCGGACTGCAACGGCCCTTGACAAGACTGTCGGCCTGCCTACCTCCAGAGGCCACTGTCGATCCACTTGCCCTTATTGCTGGGGTCACGCCGAAACCTGCACAAGATGGACCAGTCATACTGAATCTCAGAAGTCTAGCTATTGAAAGAAAGTGACCAGAACTGAATTTCTTAACCATACGGTACAGGACGAGGGATAGCGACAGAGGGAAGACACATCATTGAGAAGAGTGTTTCTGGCTGGCCACCGCACGCGGGCCAGGACTTCCCTCCTTGCTGCCTGCCAGGCGGAGGTGGGCGCGGCGCACCTGTCTTTCTGGTGATCCGCCACGGCCTCAACGGCAAAGCCTGCCGCCCAGATGCCTGCCCCCAGGTAGGCCACAGGGCCGAGGGGCGCCGCGGGGGAGGCGTTGAGCAGCAGCATAGGCAGCGACACCACAAACACCCACACAGCCTGCACCACAGAAAAACGGGTGACCCTGGGTGTAGGCATCCGTTGCGCGCACAACATTGAGCGGCAGAACCAAAGCGCCAAATCTCGCAATTCTTCCTGCCACGATGGGATCCATGATGGGAGCCCTACCTGGACAGTCCAATAGAGGAGGAAGGTCCCCGGCTGCGACTTGATTCTATCCAGGCGGTCGTCCTTTCCAGCCTGCAGCGCAAGATCACAGGACTTAACACGGCAGGTGCACTGGACGGCTATGCTCACTGAACAAGTCAACCAAAGCAGAAACATGTCCTCCTTGCTTTTGATGGCTCAGTAGGGCATTGGATAAAGATGGCTTCCTTCCCCTCGACCAAAAACACCGACTGAACATGATCCAGTGTCTTGAAGAACAACAGGGTGATCCAATCAGAGGGTGGCGCACGTGCAGGACGCGGGCAAAGAGGAAGCTGCCCAGGCGCGCGGCCCAGAGCGCCACCATGCCCGACAGCAGCAGCTGGTGCGGGGAGGCCGCGCTGCGCGAGAGGGACAGGCCCGCCAGGGTCAGGTACGTGAGGGAGCCGGTGAGGTCGTAGAACTTGTCCGTCTGCGAAGGGAGGGGGAGGGGGAGGCGGAGGGGGGGGGGATGGTCGAGGCGACCGAGGGGGGACGGCGTCGAGGAAGTACGAAGTTCGGACGTAGG